GTGTATGTACCATATCCAAGAATTAGTATACTGTAACATATATGTTATACTATATGTGCATACTATACACATACATATTCCCAAGAGACAAGTTGGAGATGTTGAAGTGTAAATTATTATTGTTTGGAAAACTGAATGACTTTAATTGAAGTTTTCTGAGAAAATACTAAGATACCAAACACAAACAAGCAGCGTACAGTGTGTAACAGGTAGCTTATTAGGGCAAGGACAGCAGCTGTGCATGGATGGGATGTAGCTAGGACAATAGAACCCATGATAGCTGGTAACAAGGCGCTAGTACAAATGAGATCTTAATGGCTACCTTCGCTCCCATTGGAAGGGGGAATTACAGTTTCTAGGGTGTGACAAGTGTTTTTCAATAGGAGTGTAAGTGCTAAGCAGTGAAGGCCGAAGGGCTGCATTATATTCACAAGTGCGACGATTACTTAGGACTTCCAGAAACCATTATGCTTTGCTGATGGAGTTCTAAGAGACCTATGTAATTGTTACAGCTCAGGAGACAAATTCAACCTGTGTATACCTTTTTATTGGCCTCCTCTAGTCTAGAGGAAACAGGTCGCATCTGAGTCCTCACATTCTAGGCTATTAGAGCATAAAGAGGTCCTAAACAACTCTGCATCAGTCACAATCGTGTCTCCCAACATGTTCAGCTTTTGAAAAGTGGTGGCCAACACATTAGCAGAAACACTTCAATAGGAATCTGACCAGCAGAAGGGAAGAGGGGAGATATTTGAAGGTCACCATAGAAAACCATTGTTTTTATTTTGTCAAGATAAATAACACCATGGAAAAGCTCAGTAGCTTTTTATTTTTAAATTTTATTTTACAAGTAAAGGTGTTTTGCCTGCATGCATGTCTGGGTACCACTTGAATGTCCGATGCCTGCTGAGGCAAGGAAAGGACCTCAGACCTCCTGAAACTGGAGTTACAGGTGTGATGTAAGCTACCAAGTGTGTTGAGAACTAAACCCAGGTCCTCAGGAAGAGCAAAAACTGTTTCTAATCACCGAACAATCTCTCCAGCCCATGCATCCAATAAATCTGCAGGGTAACAATCATTATTCCAGCAGCTAGTTTCATACAATTATCATTTTGTTCAAATGCCTCTGTTCAGGCAGGGACATGATGGCCGTTAGTAACCTTGGAAAGTGCAGAGTTTCTGCCTCCTTCATGCTCAGGCCATTTCCTTAAGCCATGGGTACTACGTCCAAATCAAAGCCAGGACCCTACTCACTGGCTCTCAGGTGTTGTGACTTTACTAATGTTGTTGTGGCCCTGTACACTGGTTCCTTCTAGAAGAGCTAACATCTAGTGTATATGTTATTGTATAACAATATTTGGTTCTGGAGGAGAGTCATTTGAAAGAATAAAATATAAGGTCCTTCTAGGACCCACTGTTTGTCACAGCCCCAGCCTCTGTGGGCAATCTCCCTTCATGTCCCACACAGGCCCTCTGGAAGAGGCAAGCACAAGTAGGGAGAACTCAATTACTTCTCTTCATAGCAGACCCCCCCACTTGCTCCTCTGTAGCCATTCTAATAGAATCATAACCAATGAGGGAACCTGGCCACACATCCGTCTTTACTTGTCCCTTGAAGGTGTCATTCACCTACGAACAAGTTCAGCCTTTCAGACTGGCAGGCACTCTTTCTAGTGCTGCAATCGCGTCATATCTTAGACTTTAAGAACTGATTTGGATTTAACTTAGTCTGTGATCCAAGGCATCATACTGGATCTTGTTGTTTATATTATTTAGAGGTTTGTTTTTGATTTTAGGTATTTCCGCGTAGTATGTAATTTACTATGTTTTCATACGTTTTGTCCAATAAAGGTTTTTTTTTAATTAGTGCCCTCTAAATCCACAACAAAATATAGGCTGTTTATATGATTTTGTTTTAGACCATTGAAACTAGACACTGGATAAGTCTATCATGGGTGCTTGTGAAAAACTTCTATTTTGCTCATTATGTAGACATACTTTCTTATTTTAATTTTTTAAAAAAGAAAACAAACTATCTTTCAAGTATTTGTTGATTTACCCAGCTGTCAAGATTTAAAATATTAGGTGAGCTCAATACTAAATACTTTATCAGTTCATCTTTTTTATTTCTTCTATACAAAAGAAACAATGTCTGTGTTCATACTTTTTAAAGAGAGGGACTTTAAGAAGCTTTCCCTGTGGTGAATATTTGGAGAACAAATGTTTCTTCCTCAAATACCATGCAATTATGTTATCAGCAGAATAGCTTGTCAGTGCTGCTAGGAACAGACACACAGCGGAACCTTTGCAAGCTTGGGAAGGTTGCATCTGTGGAGGGATGTGACCTGGACTCCAATTGCTGGCGTCAGTGGTGTCTGAGAGAGTTTTAAAGCTTCAATTTGTACATCTCACCTGGAGTTACCAGAAAGATAAAACAACAGCCTGGCATTAGAAATATTGCCTGAAATTTTATTATGTGTATATAAGTTATAATAAGGTAATTAAAAAGTGACGTAAGACATGCACATAATTCCACTTTGGAGAAGTTTTGTTTCAAATGTATAAAAAATGAGAAAAGACATGGGTCAGTCAGATTTATCCACTGGGATACTTGACTTCTCTCATGAAAATGAAGGACAGAGGCACAAAGTTAGTCCAACATCCTCTAATTGCTGGGGAAAAAAATGAATCACAGAAATGCTGTTGTGTGGCCTAGTGAAACCTTGTGTTACGATAAGGAACATCCTGGAACAAGGAAGCTGGAGTTTAGCTAGAAAGCAGGGTGACTAATTAAAAACTGACCACTTTCTAAATATAACTTCTGAATCACAGACACTGAGAGAATCAATTAATAAATGGGACCTCCTGAAACTGAAAAGCTTCTGTAAAGCAAAGGACATGATCGATAAAACAAAATGGCAGCCTACAGAAAGGGAAAAGATTTTCAGCAAACCCACATTAGAGAGAGTACTGATCTCCAAAATATACAAAGAACTCGAGAAATTGATCATCAAAAGAACAAATAATCCAATAAACAATGGAGTACAGACCTGAAAAGAGAACTCTCAACAGAGGAATCTAAAATGACTGAAATACACTTAAGTAAATGGCCAACATCCTTAGTCGTCAGAGAAATTCAAATAAAAACAAGTCTGAGATTCCATCTTATACCTGTAAGAATGGCCAACATCAAAAACACTGATGACAACTTATGCTGGAGAGGTTGTGGGGTAAAAAGAACACTCCTCCATTTCTGGTGGGAGTACAAACTGGTGCAGCCCCTATGGATATCAGTGTGGTGATTTCTCAGAAAATGAGAAAACAACCTTCTTCAAGACCCAGTAATACCACTTTTGGGTATATACCCAAAGGATGCTCAATTGTGCCACAAGGACATGTGGTCAACTCTGTTCATAGCAGCTTTGTTTGTCATAGCCAGAACCTGGAAACAACCTAAATGCCCCTTGATCAAAGAATGGATAAGGAAAATGTGGTACATTTACACAATGGAATATTACACAGTGAAAAAAAATAATGACATATTAAAATTTGAAGGAAAATGGGTGGATCTAGAAAACATCATATTGAGTCAGGTAACCCAGACACAGAAAGATAATTATCATATGTACTTACTCATAAGTGGTTTTTAAACATAAAGCAAAGAAAACCAGCCTACAAACCACAATGTCAGAGAACCTAGACAACAATGAGGACCCTTAGAGAGACATACATGGATCTAATCCACATAGGAAGTAGAAAAAGACAAGATCTTCTGAGTACATTGGGAGCATGGGGACCGTAGGAGAGGATAAAAACGGAGTGAAGAGGAAGGGAGGGGAGCAGAGAAAAATGTATAGCTCAATAGTTTAAAAAAAAACAAAAATTCCCTATTTTGATTCTTTTTTAAAAATGAACTATTTGTTTCCAGTTTGTTTCCAGTGACTTCTTCCATGAATGGAACCAAAGCAGATTGTGTTTCAATCAGTTTGATATATTTAGTCCCTATTTGACGTCTTCTGATCCCCTGCAGGAACACAAGTCTAACCTAAAGCCAGTGCAGTCAGCTCCACCCTTGGGTGTTTCTGACCATCACTACCAGTCCGGAGAGACAGAAGACTGTTATTCAATAAGCTATTTTTCAGTCTGGGGAGGATAGGAAAATGCCATCAAATGACAAGGCTTTCTCCATTGTCATGTAACAACTGGGCTATTCCGCTGTTTTTAATGCTGAAGGACTCATTCCTACCACATTAAGGTAAGAAAATCAGGCCATGTGCCATATTTTGTCACCTGCTTCAGGTGCTGTTTTGATGGGTTTGATCCTTTTTTTGTCTCTCTCACTCAGTGTTTTTTTTTTTTTTACCTACTTAAGAGTTGTGACTTTTTTAACCCCCACAAAAGTATGTGTACACACCCTAGAACTCAGCACAGAGCAGGCTGATATTATTTTTGTGGGGACCCTCTCTTTGTCTGCTGTTTGTTAGGACCTTAGTAGTACGGACCACCATACCCGGCACTCATGACAAACGCTTGCCCACCAGAGAGGTAAGCTAAGTCCTCAGTGTCTGAGAAATTGGAGGGTAATACAGAATTGAACATTTAACCCGCCTTTCTTTGAAGCCCTTTTCATCTTAGAGTGTTGATATTTCAAACTGAAGTAGTTCATGCTGAAGAACTCTATCATCTACTCCCTCTCTCCCGAAGAGTTTGTAATATGTTACTATCCACTTTGCTGGGGACTAGCAAAATGAAGTTCTGATTTGACCAGTCACAGCCTATGGAAGACTTGTAACCAGTCTTCAAAGATTTGTTTAATGCCTCTTTAATACCCTTCTTGTAGGTTTATTTTGCAAGTTTTCGTAAGTACTTCATATTAATAAATCTTCATCATTGGTTTATACCGCCGAGTTCCTCTGATTTTTTTTCCCAAAATACACTGTGAGTTGAAGAAACAGCTGTGGCACATAGAGGGGGGAGCGCGGCCCCTCCAGGGTCCTTACCTTTACAATTACTGTGACTGTCGCTATTCCAGGTGGCATTGTTCCATAAATATCAAAGGCTTCCACCAAGAATGTGATGCTGGCTTCCTGGTCAGGAAAGGCCTCATAATCCAAACTCCTCAAAAGCGACAATTCTCCCGTAAATGGATGAAGTGCAAAAAGGTGCTTCACCTCAGGGCTTCTGATCCGATACGACACATTTGCTCCAAGATCAACATCCTTGGCCTATGACAAGCGAGCGAGAAGAATGGTTACGTCAGAGGGCTTCCCACAAGAGGGGGGAGGGCTGATGGAAACGCATTAGTGCCTGGGACGGCGCGGGTTTCATGAGAAGGAACGGACACGTGACTGTCGTTTACCAGGAAATGGGAAATGGAAAGATGGAGAAAGGACAAACATAAGGTCGTGAACACAAAATGCTGTTGAATTAAAATTATTTGTGGAGTGATTTACATAAACAGGTTCTAAAATCCCATGAGTAGATATGGAACCAGGTCCTCCTCGGAAGGCTGCCTTGCAGGGTGGGATGATGTATTCGCAAACACTGCTCTCTCGCACTTCCCTGCCTCTTGCTAGTGTCTGCTTGGCACTCATTATGCAGACGGTGAAGTAAAGAGGATAAAATGAACTGACGTGTAAATCTTGCCCTCTATATCACAACCCAAGAGAGAATAAAAAGCATAAATACACAAATATAAAGGGAAAGATAATGTTTTGTGCAAAGGTATTCTGAATGAGTCCTGATGAAAAGTTTTTTGGGTTGTTTTTTGGAGTTTTGAGACAGAAAAGTTTTTTTTAATGTGTGTGTGTGTGTGTGTGTGTGTGTGTGTGTGTATGGGGGGGTGTAAAGTGGTCATTCCATTCAATAGGACAGTGGGGAAAAGCAGCTTGGTAGAAGGAAGGCAGCTGCAGGAGTAGACATGCCAAATCTTAGGTCTGTGGAATGAACACCCATGGAAGGCCATGTGAGTCATGGTCTCTTATCAGTAGATGATGTCACAGTAGAGGGAAGCAGTCAAAACACAGATTTCGTGTCATTTCCTGCTGATAAATTCTCCTGTTTCCACTCGATCTCTGACCAACACTGTTAGTCCCCTTCTGGTATTGTTACAAAATTCCCCTAGTAAGCAACTTATAAAGTGGGGTTTCACTGTGTGGACCTAGACATCATGGTGGTAAACAAAGACCAGAGAAGGCTTGTCTGTGTTATGAAACCCAGGAAGTAGAGAAAAACTCAAAGGGGCTGGAGAACTCAATATCTTCTTCAAGGGCAAGCTACCTTTGTCTCAACCTCCAAGGATTCCACAGGCAGAGCACCAAGCCTTCAGCATATGGGCCTTGAGGGACATTTGAGATTCAAATGACAGCAATCTCATCCTCTGAATATTGTGACAGAACACAATGCCTTCTGGCTCCTTAGAACCTTGGGCATCAATCAGCATCTCCCTTGACATTTTGAGTGTTTTATTTTTACATGACCTTGATTAATCCCTTCTGTTTCTCTCTTTAACTAGCAACTGACTGGCTTCTCAGTTCACAGCAGCACGGTAGCTTTTCTTAGCAAAATGAACCACTCAATAGAATAGAATAGAATAGAATAGAATAGAATAGAACAGAACAGAACAGAACAGAACAGAACAGAATAGAAGGTGTGTATCAGATTGCTAGGATCTTGCTTCTTACTACCAATGTTGAGAGTTGTTTAAAGACGACTGAGAATTCCATAGAAGCTGTGAATCCATCTTGACCACCTCTTCATCGTCCAAACCATATATAAACACATACATATGTATGTATATAGTATATATATGTAACCACAATTAATAAAAAAGAGGACGTGAATTTTGAAAGACAGCAGGGAGTTGTTTTAAGGATGAAAGGGGAAGGAGAAAAAGGAAGGGAAAATGATAATTATTGAACCAACAAGTAAAAAATTAATTACTAAAATATAGAAGACATAGAATATAGCTCAGCACCTATGATGCATCAGTATTGAAGAAATAGATGGATGAACAAATGGGAAAGATGATTTTTTCTAGGTTGGCATGCATCGTTATTTGATTTATTAATGTCTGTAACCTAAGTATTTAATAGCTCAGATATATTAAGACAGACTTGTTAGAAAAAGTCAAGCTTTGTAGATAAAGTATAAACAGACTGAGGATTTTAATTCTTTGTCACAATATGGTTCATGTACCCCCATGTTAGAATTAAGTAGATTAGGGTATAAAAAGAAATTTATGGGTTCTCCTGAGCTACTGTCATAAAATGTTGGGAGCTTCTAATATTACAGTTGAGCACAGAGGTTTGTATATGAATTTCAGTTAGGAAGAGCTAGAAATTTGAAAATGGTGTAAAAGTGAGTAAAAAACTACTACAGAATAAACAATGTTTTATATGTGTATATAAAGTATATGAGGAAAAGTATATTCACATGCATAAATGTATTTGTGAATTTATATGTTATATATGCACATACCTGAACACATGTTTATATATGTGTGTATGTTTATATAAATGTATGTTTATATTTGATATCTATTTGATATTTGTGTGACCCTTCTGGAAGATGTAAAAAAAACACTTAGAAAATTTAATATTTTCTGGGAAACTCAGTTTTTTCTTTACGTTGTCAATGTTACAAAACCATCTAGCATTACTTTTATACATGCCAAAACACATAAAATGTATTATATTTCCTATTATTGCAAACTTTCTCCTTTTAATTTTGTGGGTTCTCCAAGAGGAAGGGTTTCATATAAAACACCATATTCAATTTTTGAGACTTATCTGAATCTAAGTTATTCTGAGATCATCATATATATGTTTGTAGTCAAACTTCATAGTCTGATCCTCACAGCTAATCTTGTAATACAGATCTCCTGGAATTAATGCCTGTAACACACACCTCTATTTGAAGGAAGGTGGTCCCAGCTGGAAGATTCTCTTCAACAACTACTGTGTATGTTGAATTGGTAAAAACAGGACTGTTATCATCAATGTCCAACACCTTGATGTACAGTGTCAGAGTTGAATGCCGAGGGTGCACGGCTCCATCCGTTGCCACAACAACCAGTTCATAGTGGTCCCTGACTTCCCTGTTCAGCTTCACGGCTGTGTAAATGCTCCCATTGGACGTGATGCGGAAGAGGTTGTTGAAGTTACCCAGGCTGTAGTGCACTTGGCCGTTGATCCCAGCATCTGGATCTGTTGCCTAAACACAAGAACCAGAGGGCTTAGCACAACGGCTTCTGGCACACTGCTGTTAAACTCTGCCACATTTTCTAACCAAATATTCTGTTTCCCTCTAAAGGGGAAATTTAGAAAGATAATAAAGGTACAATTTGCACTCAAAATGGTGAAAAGAAATGAGCTATGATTTAATTATATACTCAGTGGAAATGAACATAAAGCTGATATCATTAGAAACAACAATATATTATGTCAGAGAAAATGAATATTATAAAAATGGAAGGTTTCATGTACTTTCATTGCTACAATAGATTTTAAATGACAAAAATAGTACTTGGTTTGAATTAATTTAAGATGATTTACTAACAGTTTAAGATTCAATGGTTGTTTTGTTTAAGAAATTCATATCGTCATTTTCATATTTACATATGTTTGGGCATGATGCATATTTACATCATTTAATCTTTGTGATGATTTTGATGAGTAAATATCATTGGCCTCATTGTGCAAATGAGACCATATGGCTTAAGGAAATTAATTGTCTCATGTAAAGTTACACAAGAATTAAATACCTTGGAGGTCCTAGAATTTAACACAGTATCTCATATGCAAAACTATTTAATAAATGTTAATGAAATTAATGAAGGCTCTGTGAATATATGGAACTGAGGTTTGAAATTAAAGATATTCCCAAACTGAATGGCAATACAAGTACAGTAATTGTCAAATCAGAAGACAGGGCTACCACTTAGTATTAGACTATGAATCTCAAATAATAGCAGGGAGAATTGTTGGTGCTTCCTGAATCTATATTTGCTGAAAAATTTACGCATAAAGCCATTTTGCTCCAAACATGAGAGAGTTTTGAGTGACTGTATTTCTGATAGAATGTTGATAGGAGTACTCTTATTTAAAATTCAGCAACTTATAACCTCCCACCATCAAATACTGTACATTTTATACCAAATGATTCTATTACCATTTCTTAAAAAGTCTTGAATCTATCTAAGAAGCTGTGAAATACTATAGAATTATGTTTCAAACTACCACTAAAGAAAGAAAGGGGACAGGACTTTATTTTGGTTTCCATACTCCAAAATCACTAAATCTTCGTGAGGTCTGGAATGCAAGATGGTGCATTTTACTTTTTATTTATTTTTCTATTTTCCTACTTTTCTATCTATCTATCATCTATCCATCTATCTATCCATCTATCTATCATCTATCTATCTATCATCTATCTATCTATCTATTAAGGCAGTGCATTTTAGCATCCCATATACACTGTTCAGTTTGAAAAAAATAAAGACAAGATGTGGACACTGGGCTGGTCAGCTCCCTGCTGCTGCCCAACACTGTACACTGTCATTGCAGAAGGAATGCCACCATGATAAAGAAGAAACTTCAAAATTTTAAGTTTATTTTGTGTCTGATACCTGTTGCTTCTGTACCATCAGAAAGTCGAAAACTTGTAAGTCAGCCTATCACATGTCGGAGGCACCTATGCTTGTATTTATTTCATTGCCAAAATAACAAATAATCATACCTTTATTGGCTCCCATGAAATAGCGGTTCATTATATAAATCTCTGAAAGTAAGGAGTTCAGTGTAGGGTCATTAGCCTAAAAGTTAGGTATGAGCCAACGGTGTGCCCTCCTGGAAGCTCTGGGGGAATATTGGCAGACTCGGGCTATGTAAACAGTGAACCTGAGATTCCAACCCCTGTGAAAACAGAAATGTGAAGACTGCCACCAGCCTCTTGCTCAAGCACTTTCTGTATCTGTAAGTGCAGTAGCATTTAACCTGCCTTTCTTGCAAGTTTTGAATCCCTTCTTCACCTCGTTCTACTTTGCTTCTTTGACCCATAGTCCAACCACCTCGCTCCTCTTTAAAGACCTGTGTAAGTATTTTAGGCTTACTTTGACAAACAGGGATAAATTATTACCCTCTCAAGGGCCTTGACTTTAGCCATATGTTATGCAAATATTTGGTAATTCTTATAGTTTTTGAAATTATTTACTTTTAGTCTACCTGTTAAATTACCCATTTTAAAAAGATTTATATTAAGAAACTTTAGCTGGGACACCCTCTTTAATGCATTCCATACTTTTTAAAAATCCATTTAAATTAGCTAAAGTGTAGTAAACGTGCCAAGTACTTACACAGGCACCTGAACCTTTGTCTTGTGTAGAAATACTTGGCTCCCTGCATGGCTAGCCACCATGAAAGAAAGCATGTTTGACTGTATATTCTGCAGCAATTAACTCTAACCATGTTAAGGTTGCTCAAATATGCAGCTAATGGTGATAAAAGGACAGAATATGCACAAAACACTGCTTGCTTGCTTGCTTGCTTGCTTGCTTGCTTGCTTGCTTGCTTGCTTCCTTCCTTCCTTCCTTCCTTCCTTCCTTCCTTCCTTCCTTCCTTCCTTCCTTCCCTGTCTCCCAGTCACTGAGCAAGATGAATGAGGTTGGGTTGTGGCTCAGGCACTGGAGGCAGATTCAGTTGCTTTACTGTTACATATGAGGGAGTCAGCGTGAGACAAAGAGTTATCTCAGAGTTCCTAGTATCAATAGTCGTGTTGAGGACTTTGCATGGATGCTTACCCGCTCCTCTCAAGCAGCTTGCTGCACAATGCTGTAATGGAGCCATTCATCTCCTTTCAGATCAATTAGAAGTTAATTAAAATTGTTAATAAGAAAAATCGCACTTCTCTACTTGTACTACATCGAAGCAATAAACAGTAAAGGCTGCGACTTTATAATCATCCGTCCACGGGACACTCGCTTTACAATCTATGTCTTCCTGGGGCCTGATTTGTGGTGAGATTTTTGGGCATGCATAGGGCTGGGAGATTGGCTAAAAGTCTATAATCAAATAAACACCTCAGAAATCAAAACAAAGGTCTCATTGGAGAGACGTTTAGTTGTGTGCTCGAAAGGCAAACAGCACATTTAAATCACTAAAATCAAAATCATAGCATATGTTAAAGACAACCAGTTATTTAAGAGGGAGGCCGGAGGCCATGCAAAAATCACTTGCTAAACAAATATATCATTTTGAACAAAATTGTGCACAGCTTCTTTTCCATGGTACATGTCAACAGTACTAGAAATACTAGTTCCTAAGCATTCAATTCATGCCCTCTTTTTCGTTACTGTTATCTTTGCTCATTGTCTTTCTGCAGGTCTAAATCTTTCTCTTTAGTAAATGAAGCTCACTGCTAAGGTTTCTACATCAGGGGTTGCCAAACTCGTAGAACCCTTCAATCTTTCTGCTTCTTTTTCAGACATTCTCTTCCTCTGTGCCCACCAAATCAGCTTAAACACGAGCCATAAACACGAGCCACACACCTCAGCTGCTTGAGTTCTGGGAATACGAGTGCGAGCTAGCAGCCAAGGATTTCTGTGAGCAAAACAGACCGATATCAAACTCTAAAAAGAAGGCTAGGTGTATGTGGCCTGCTGCTGAAACAGCTGGGAGGTAGGTCTCCTATGCAACATGCCAGTAATTGATCCCAAGTTAAATATTTATCATTACATTCAAATCATTTAGGGAAAAATGGTTTACAGTGACTAAATTCTTCTCCAAGCATCAGACAGATGACACAGAGGGGGGATATCTCAGCTACCACGAAGGTGTGAACTACTGTGGCACCTCCCTATACCAGTGTGAGGAAGAGAGAGAGAGCTTTGCTCCCTCTTTGCCCATTCTCTGCAGCAGATTTAGAGGCTATGCCCCCTCTTCTCACTTAGAGGAGAAGTGGGAGGTGTTCCTGAGGAGGAGGTCATCTGAACACTTGCCAGTGCATCTTTCATGACATTATTAGTAGAGATGCGTTTTGAAGATGATTATCTAGAAACTGCAACATTTATAAAGCAGTTGCTGGTGTTCTTCTCTGTCGATGCTGACCTTTCTCAAGAGCGATGATAATTTTGTTGAGGGGAAAGAAACAATTCAATGACTCAAAGTGAGGGTAGACTTCCCCCTCTCTGTAGAAATACCTCATTACTATTGTTGAATAAAAACAGGAGGCGGTTTTCCTAGCAAGAGTAAGGAGCCCAGGAGTCCCGAGCAGAACCCTGAGCTCTCAGGCTGTAGGTCTCAGAAAGGTTGGGTTTCCAGCTTATAGTCAGCATTTCCATACTGATTGAGTGGCCTTGATTAGGCCTCCCACCCTCCTAGTCTGTAACTGACTGCCAGTCAGTAGTATTTATCTCACTGCCTCTTATGGGCTCTGTATTGAGTTCGCAACAAACTTAGGTCACATTAAGGAAGTAATCAAAATACTGATTATGATTATTGTTATCACCTTTTATGATCTCTATTAATAGGTCATTTAGATGGGTAGGTTGTGCCCTGAAATATTTTCAGAGTTTTGTTGTGGAACATGCCAGACTGCTTTTATCAATAGATATCTGTATGCTATTTGCCTTTGGTTCCTTAACTCTGTGAGTCTGGAGGTTCTCTGGGAGTTTCAGTGTTGATTTGCCAAAGAATTCACATATAAAGTGCACCTGTTCACGCAGCAATTTTAGTGCAACAAGTGATATTTATGAGGACATTTTATTGGATGCAAGTAATAAAAATGTACTTTTTGTTATAAGGAAGATTAAAGACAATTAAAGCTTTCTTGTGTGTTTATAAATGTACTGTAGCATTTATGAAGAGGTGAACTATCATGTGTCACCAAAAATGTGAGGGTATGTATGTGAATGTGCATATCTGTGTGCATGAGCCTGGGGTTATGTGTATGTGTGCACATGTGAGAATACAAGTGCATCAGTGTGTACAAGTGTATGTCTATGAGTGCATTTGTATGTACGTTTATATGTACATGTGCTACTATGGGAAAAAAGCATGTATATTTGAGCAGGTGTATGCACCTGTGTGTGTGTATGTGTGTGCCTGTGTTCTTGCATATATGATGGTTACATGTGTGTACATACACATGTCCATGTATAAATGCATGTGTAACTATATGTACATTTGTATACATGTGGGTACATTATGCATGTGTGT